GTTAGTGAATAATCTTTTGTGGGCTACAGCCCTCTTCTTCGGATGCATCTAATAAATTTGTTAGTCTCTAAGGTGCCACAAGTACTCCTGTTCTTTTTTAGGTACACAGTTATCTAAGATATTTGATTATGAATCCACAGGTAATACCAAATATATGCATGCAAGGGGGCAGAGCCAATGTTGTGTGTTCAAACTCAACTTTCACATTTCCTCGGTGTTTAGTTGTGTATACTTAATTTTGCTTTCATATAGGTTTGTGCAATTAATTTCCTGGAGCATTTTAATCCTTTTAAAAAAAAGTCCCCAAGTCTATAAGAAGCAGGCACTGTTTCACTAGACCAGCTGACTCCTACCAACTAATAAACCAAAGCACTTGGACTCAGCATCTCAAATCTATCAATGGGAATTAGGCATTTAAATACCTTTGAGGATCTGGTCCTTGTAGGCCAGTGTTTGTTAGCATTGCAGGCTAAGTATAGTACACTTTGCTATGCTTGCATGTATATATACACCCTTAGAATTAAGAAGTCCTTAAGGCAGCATGAGCATCTCCTGCCCAGCCATCCAAACTATGCCAATTTATGCTAACAGAGGGTCCAGCCCAAAGAGTGCATTTAACCAGTTACACATGGTACAGGTAAATAACTACTATGTAAATGGTGGCTGTGATTTTCAGTAATGCTGAGCACTCAAAAATCTACAGAAGTCAGTGGGAGCTTTGGGGATTCCTCACCCTTGAAAATCAGGACAATATGTGTAAAAGACTAGCCAGTACTACAGAAATACAACATGTGTTTATAGTTTAGGGGCCATTGCTTCTGCTTTTGAAGTCAACAGGAAGTTTGTGATTAACTTCAATGGGAGCAGGATCATTTTCATAAGAACCTGTTCTGCAGGCTCTTAGTACCAAGCATACAGCTTACTGGCAGTCCTTGGGAATGGTGAGAAGTACTAAGCACTACTCTCTATCACAGGGGTTTGCAGGAACACTGCCTTAATTAATGTTTGTTCAATGCTTTGTAGGTTTAAAGTGACCTATAATGAATGCTAAGCATCATCGTTATTATGACTATACTTGTAAGTCTGTATGTGTGAAGAAAAAAGTTAACAGATTTAGGGTATGTCTACACTACCTGCCAGATCGGCGGGCAGCGATCGATCCAGCGGGGATCGATTTATCGCGTCTAGTTTAGACGTGATAAATCGACCCCCCGAGCGCTCTCCCATCGACTCCTGTACTCCAGCTCGGTGAGAGGCGCAGGCGGAGTTGATGGGGGAGCGGCAGCAGTCGACTCACCGCTGTGAAGACATCACAGTAAGTCGATCTAAGTACGTCGACTTCAGCTACATTATTCACGTAGCTGAAGTTGCGTAACTTAGATCGATCCCCCCCCAGTGTAGACCAGGCCTTAGATATAAAATCATGATTCTTGATGTATAGTATTGTTGTCTTATTAACTGATACTCTACAGAATTCACTATAAAAGCCAATTTCCTGTAGATGCAATATTATGGGCACACTTAAAATGTCTCAATAGTTAAGGTTCCACCGGGATTTTCCTTTAATGGGACTTTTGGAATATTATATGATTTTTAACTTTCCTTCCCTTTACATGTTAACTAATGATGGGGAATTATTTTCTTGGCTTATGGGAGGAGGGATGAATCAATAATAAATGCCAACATTTATTTCCCAGACCTTCATTGCGATCTGCACAGACTGTTGCACGGAAAAATCAAGGAGCTCCACATGGATGCAGCAGTTTGCTTGTGTAGATTACAATGCAGGATCAAGGTCTTACTGTTAGGGCTTGTCTACATGAACAATTGGACTGTGGCAAGCGGGGGTGTGAATCTTCCCCTCACTAGTCTGATGTGGACCAGCTGTCCATGAGCACTCTGCTGGGTGCGCATTGACAGTTCATTAATATGCTTTGAGATAGTCCCATTTCAAAGAGGATTGGATCAAAGTGCTCTAACAAACTGCTAGCTCATATCAACGGGGTGCACGAGGGCAGTTAGAGTGCAGCAGGCTTGTGTGGCTCCCCCCGCAGCTTCCCAGGGTCTAATTGTTTGTGTAGACAAGCTCCGTGGCTCTAGTTTTCAAACCAGACCCCCTTATTGGGAGAACAACATGGCCCCATAATTACCAGCCCCCGCTATTTTGTGTCCATAGTTTATTCCTGTTTTCCCCTCGCAATTCATTGTCTATCGATTAAAAGCACTGTTTAAGAGCTAGGTATTTATTATTAATTATTATTATTATTATTGTTGTTCACTGCAATCACAGAATTGGATCAGCCAAAATGGAGGTGTGGTTTGACAGATGTAAGCCCTCCAAGTTCAGCTACTACATTTTGGTACACATTTTTCAAACAAAAAATGGTTTCATCAAAAATTGCCTTTTCTCCAAACGGAAAATTTTCACAGATTTTTTTTTTAAATTTTCTACTTTTGAACTAAATTGAAAAATGAAAAATGTAGCTTTTTTCTGGTTTTTAGTTTATTGCTTATCTGTTTTGCCTGCCCCCTTCCAACATCAAAATAGAAAAAAGAAAAAGTGGGTGGAAATGGGGAAACAAGATCAAAAGAGTGTGGAAGAAAACAGAAAAAAAATTGAAAATAAAAATTGCAATAAAAATGATTGTGAAAAAATTCAAATAAAGGACAAGGTGTGTGTGTGGGAAGCAGGGGCTGGGTTTTTTTAAACCAGGGGAACAAAAATAACGTTGTAATTTTGAGTTAATGTTTGTTAGGTGTTTTCATTTTTTACTAGATCTATTAAATAATGAAATATTTTCTCTAAGTAACTACCTCTAGTGCACCCTTCTCTCAAGGGGGATAGAACTAGATAAAAAAGTTAACTCATTCTCTGCCATATCTGGATTCACAATATCTTCACGCCATTGGGGAATAAAAAGCCAGATCCTTCAGTCTCTACTCACATAATCCTAACTCTGCTTAGTAGCTTCAATACCTACCAGGGTAGGAGTTACTCCATGACTAAGGTTTACCACTTCAAACCCAAATTAGGTAATAGTTTTCAGTTAATAATACTCCAAGGGTCCAGTGTAACTCTCACTGTAGTCAAAAGGCAGTCGTCTGTTGACTTTAGTAGATATTACATTAAGCTCTGCGGGCCCAAGTCATTCCTGCCACTCTTACTTAGGTGAGTAGTCCATTGCTATTAATGAAACTAGTTGAGTAAGAGGCACTAGGAAAGCTTTGCAGGACTGGGCCTTAAAACAAGTTAGTGTTTTATGAATGGTATTGAATATTTCCCACTGTAAATCAGCTCTACAAATTGGTGATTAAAATGTAATGTAGTTGTCCTTCTTTTCTTGGTTTTCATTGCTATATGAGTTAAGATATGTCCCTTGTTTTTCTACTAATCCAATGTTTCTTCTGTCTAATGCTCTTAAATGTCTTGTTCTAACTTCCTAAGGACAGTGGGTAATAAGGTGAGGGGATTTAAACATCTCAACTTTTTTCATTGCAACATTTTTTTCTTTTTTGAGTCTTTTGCTTCTTGTCAAATCATTCTTTCATTTAGTAAGAAGCATTCCAGCAGACACATTTCCACATATGTGTAACGAACATTTTGCAAAACACTTGGCATGTGAAATAGCTAGATTACGCTTGTGAAATAGTTCCAGATGCATTTGTTTGTATATATCATATTTATGTATATACATATCTATAGAGATATATTCCCATGATCATTTTCTCTACTTCTGACTCATTTTGACCAATTTGTGTGGCTACAAGAACAGGCTTCTGATCATTAGCATTCTTTATTTAACGCTTGTACAATGGGTGCAAGCTCACTGCTCCCAGATAACATTTATTCTTTAGTGCCCTCACCAAATCTGCAGTGACCAAGATTTGGAAGTGTACCACATTCCATGTGGACTTATAAATTACAAGCATTATCATTGATATTAGAAATAATTAAAATTATTATTACACCCAAATATTCATCACAGTCACACTAAGCCACCACTCTGGCACAGGCTTGTATCTTTATTCACTTTGTTGTTAGAATGCAAAGACATCACTGATAACTACAAAATTCTAGTTAGCCGTCCTAGACAAGAGTTTGCACGAAGATCACATGGTGACTGAAAATGCAAAAGCCTAAAAGTAAAATAATAAAATAGATATGTGTTTATGAAGCTGTTCTTGGAAGCAAAATGATTTTGCATGTCATACAGATCTGTGGTTATAATCGCTAACTGGTGCATCCTAGAATGAAGTATTACTCCTAAAGAACCCTCCCCCCCCCGCTCTCTCTTTCTCTCCTCTCCCCCCCGCCCAATAATTTTCTCATTCATGTAGGGAAGATGCTCTTGAGTACTTCAAAGACCCTGTATTTTACAGCCGCAAGAATACCACTACAATAAAATAAACATTTCAGAGCATTGGTCTTACCTGTTTGTTTAAAAGAGAAGATGGAGTTGTGGCAGGTCAATGCCCCTTGTAGAATATCACTTTGGGCGGTGATCGTGTCACAAGTCTGGGAGATCTCCAAGAAAGTGAAAATTTTGATTCAGTAGATGGCTATCTTCCCAGTGAGGATAAGTCTATACTGGATTTGAAGGTGTAATTTCCAGCCCAGGTTGACATACCTGCGCTAGCTCTTATCAAGTTAACATGCTAAAAATAGCAGTGTGGTAGCTGCAACAGGCTAGCTGCCCCAAGTGCAATTCCGCCTGAAACATGTGTACGCACTTGAGGTGGTTAGCCTGTCCTGGTACACTCACCACTGCGACATCGCTTCTATTTTTAGCATGCTGCCTCGATCAGAGCTAGCACAGATATATCTACTGGGGCTGGAAATTACACATCCAGCTCCAATGCAGACATAGTACTGAGAAGGTGTTACATTTGAGTGTGCTGCTGGAGTCTTCCATATGATGTTTTGTTCTTTGCATTAATGCAAAGAGAACTTGTAATCAGCAAATATGTTGTTTTATTCTAACTTTATGTCCATCCAACCCCATTGAAACCAGAGTCTGCTCCCAGCTGAAGCATGCAGAACTGTGTCTGCATTCAGAGTCCTGCACTGCAGTGTGACAGATGACTTGACTTCAGAACAACAGCACCTATTTTACTCATATGGGACATAAAGCTGAGGTCCTTACTACTTGTGGCCAGTCAGAAATCGTGGTCCAAGGGTGCTGAGATAAAGCTGATATTAAGTTATAATATTTTTACATTGACCTTTTTTTCATTTCTCATTATATGCCAAAGTTTAAACCCTCAAATGCTTGGAACAGTGCATCTGTACTTCTTGAATATTATCAAATACTTCAAATTCTTTGCCTCTATACTTTTTTTTAAAAGCCCAATGTTTTTGGGTGGTTGTTGTTTTTTTGCAAGCCTAGCACTATAAGTTAGCCCCGGTGTCTTGGTCAAATTCCAGTTTGGGTAATTACTTTCAAATTATCTAAATTTGGTCCTGGCCCATGACTGCGGGCTCCTAGGCAACACAATAATACAAGTAATAGTAATAATAAAATGTATCCTGTAATTGGATACAGGATATATATGAAACCTGTAAAGTAATTTAATTGTTCTGGGATCTTTTCCGATGAATAGCGTAATATAGATTTAATGTACTCTCTGTTAGTAAGATGCTGAGATAAATTTTAACACTGGGGGAGGAGGGGTTCTCAATAGTTTTCAGTGTGGTTAAAAGTCAAGTAGTCGTGTACCAGAAAGCCTTTAATCAAAGATCATTGTCATCTGTTTAAGCCTAGCTTTTAGGTTCATTTGTTTTCCTTTGACTCAATGTGGAATAATATCTGTTCATGAGGTACATTGAAATCAATTCATTAGCATTCTTTGCCTAATCCTAATTATCATTCATTTCTTATTTCACTCCAACAGACATCTCAGCCAAGCCCTGGTGGTCAGTCTACATGCAGCAGCGAACAGTCCCCCATCAGCAACTATTCCAACCATGGGATCGAGCTTAATCTGACCAGTGGAGGTAGTGTAGGAGACCTCAGTGTCATTGATGAAACCCCAATCATGGACTCTACCATTTCCACAGCAACCACAGCACTTGGCTTACAGGCCAGAAGGAACATGACAGGGACCAAATGGATGGAGCAAGTCAAATTAGAAAGGTTGAAACAAGTTAATGGAGTGCTTCCAAGACTGAATCCCATTCCACCTTCAAAAGCCCCAACCTTGCCACCTCTCATAGGAAATGGTGAGATATGCATAACTGGATTAATCGTACTTTCATTCTTTAAATTCGTCCTCTTAGGGCTTGATGTTTCAGGACTTACACGAACTGTACAACTCATGAAATTCAGTGGGAGTTCTACTTACCTAGGAGCTGTAAGACACCTACATTTTTCAATATATATATATATTTTCCGTTTAAATTAGAAATTGTACTATACTGGTAGAAATTGGTAATCCCATAGTTTATATTCCTGGAAGTGAATATGGGTGGTCTGATTATCATGCTTGAAATACTTAGATTCCCTGGAACCAACATTCGATTCACAGCATCATTTTAGCCCTGCATCCTTCTAAGGTAGAGAAATTAAATACCATGCAGTTTATTGTGTGGTATTCTTTCAAGTGAGGCCTTTAAACCTCAGATCCTATCTGCTTTGCATAGTCGTCATAGACTACATTTTGAAGTGGGCTTTAACATGGTCTCTATTTGCAAATACACTGATAGTTGCACGTGGAGATGATAATGCTCAAAAAATGCATGTATAGTTTCGTACATGAATCACATGGAGGCGTGCTGGACCCTAAAGATTCCATAGCACTTTCTACAAGAGATTGGGTTTGACTTGGTACCCTTGGGCAATATTTCTCCTCCCAACACTTTGGGCAACCTACTGTGAACCAGTTGGCTGCTGCTGTCCACCCTAGTAGTGACTGCATATCTGTGGTATTATATGTACATAGTTTGTGAAGTGCATTCAAGAAAAGGAATGACATAAAGGTGATGATGATGCTTACATTATGTTTATTAAAAGGAGGAACTGGGAAAGATGTTTTGCAGTTGTTTTAAATAACATGCAAATATGAAAGAATTCTTTAAAAATTACTCTAATTTCCAATTTGTATATTTTGCCATCTAGACTTAGATTATCACATGAATGCCAGTTCAATTAGTTACAAAAATCTAAAAAGCTTTTTTTAAGAATATGGGAAACCTGTTTCTCTAGTCGGTGTCAATCAGAGTAGCTCCATTTTAGTCGATGGAACTACACTGGATGACAACTGAGGATGTGTTGGGGCTCACATTGAAATGATGTTCTTGAATCTGTGAGCCCCTATACAAGAGTGCTATTTAGCCCTACTTCTGATTAGAAAACGGTCTTGACTTCCTAGAATCATATGGGTATTTCCTTGAATGCCTGTTACTTGTCTCAGAATCTAAGTGTTTTCTACAGTTGGTCCTGATTAATATTCATTTATCTGTGAATTTTACCATCAGGTATCCAGTCAAGCAGCAGCTGCAGTTTAGGAGGATCCATGACTATTCTACCCAACAGAAATGAAATTTCAAGTATGGACATCACAGTGTTAAACATGCTGAACAGGAGGGACAGCAGCACCAGCACAATTAGTTCCGCCTACTTGAGTAGCCGTAGGTCCTCTGGAATTTCACCTTGCTTTTCCAGTCGGAGATCCAGTGATGCTTCCCAAGCTGAGGGAAGGCCTCAGAACATGAGTGTCGCCGACTCCTATGACCCCATCTCGACTGATGCCTCCAGGCGATCCAGTGAAGTGAGTCAGTGTGATGGCCTGCCAAGCCTACTCAGCCTCACCCCAGCCCAGCAATACAGGCTGAAAGCTAAATATGCAGCAGCTACTGGTGGACCCCCACCAACTCCACTGCCTAACATGGAGAGGATGAGCCTCAAAACAAGGATGGCGCTGTTGGGTGATTGCAGGGAGTCTGGAGTATCTCCTCTGCCTCCAGTAAATGCTCCTCGTAGATGTAGTGATGGTGGGGCAAATAGTTATAACAGGAGGCATTTTCTGGCTCATGATGTGCTGGGAAATGGGACAAGGAGAGCCAGTGATCCAGTAAGAATGGTTTCCGACAACCTTTCTCTGCCTAGAGTCCAGCGATTCAACAGTCTTAATAGCTTTAACCCTCCTGTTTTGCCTCCATCTATGGAAAAGCGAAACTTTATTCTTCAGAACTATACCCGCTCTGATGGCGGCCTGTTCCGTAACACCTACTCCCCATGTCCTCCAAGTATCAGTGAGAATGTTACCATGGAGGCTGCTACCATGGAAGCGGATGGTGGTCTAAATGATGAGGATCTCTTGCCAGATGATGTGGTTCAGTATTTGAATTCCCAGAACCAAAGCATGTATGACCATTTGCCAAACGATGTCCTGGACAATAACAAAGTGCATCACGGGTCAGCAATAGGGAATAACAACTTTCACCAGGCCCCTTCACCAAACAGTCAACAGACCAGCTCTGAAGCAAACAAAAGCGACCTGCCAATCCAGTGGAATGAAGTAAGCTCAGGAAGTTCTGACTTGTCTCCTTCAAAAATGAAATGTGGTCCACGCTCGGCAATCCAACAAACTCGAGCTTTTGGACTATATAACAATATGATGGTCCAGCAGCAGAACCTGGAGAGAAATGGTATGGGCCAACAAAATGGCTATCAACATCTTGTGGAAAACAGCAGCTCTTACAATTTACATCAGAACATGATTATCAGCAACAACACCACCAGTAACTCTTTCAACATGCAGGCAAATAAGGCACAGCCATATGGTGAAAGCATCACCAGACAACCAATGATTTCTGGGGCAATGGACAGTTCCTGTGGCATAGTGATTCAAGGGCAGAAGTTGAGGAACAACAGCATGCTAATAAACAAGAGTCAGCAAAACTTTGGCCATCCCATGGTGCCAGGTGAGCAATCTGTCAGTATGGCTAATGGGATGCAGAGTAGAAATACGATAGAACAGGAATACCTGCAGAATCAGCCAATAGGGGAAGGCATTCATTATCAGGGAGTCAATCAAACCAATCAAATGATGTTAGGGCAGGTTAGTCCTACCTCACAAATGAGCCTTTGTCAAGGGCCACAGAGTTCTCCACCAATGCCTCACAACATTGGAAATCAGCAATCAGGTTTGGTGGTGACAAAGAGTTACCAGCCATGTGCCAACTATGGAGGCAACAGACGGCAAAACATGCTGAGAAACAACCTGGCACAACAGCAAGGATTTATAAGTGATGCAAACCAGACATACAGGGTAAATGGCATTAAGATGGAGATGCAAGGTCAATCACAACAGTTCTGCTCTAATATGCAGAATTACTCTGGTCAGTTATATGACCAATCCATGGGCTTTACTCAGCAAGCTATGAAAACAGGTTCTTTCTCTATTTCGGAAGCTAACTGCCTGCTGCAGGGGACTGGTATTCCAAATTCGTCTGAGCTTCTTTCCCCAGGGGCTAACCAGGTGACAAGCACAGTTGACAGCATTGACAGCAACAGCCTAGAAGGTGTGCAGATTGATTTTGATGCTATCATAGATGATGAGGACCATGCCAGCTTAATTTCAGGAGCCCTGAGTCCGAGTATCATTCAGAATCTCTCACACAATTCTTCACGCCTCACCACTCCCCGAGCATCTCTTACATTCCCAGCTATGCCTGTGAGCACAACAAACATGGCTATTGGGGACATGAGTTCTTTGTTGACCTCACTTGCAGAAGAAAGCAAGTTTCTTGCTGTTATGCAATAGACATGGGGAAAAAAACTTAGGAGATAACCGATAAAAAGTGACTCATTTTTTAGTTGTGTATGTATTTTAGCAATCTCATCTCACCTAAATGGGATGTGTTTCAAGTATATTCCTTTTATGGAATAAGGACTCTGAAAACCCTAAAGTGTTCTAGGGAGAAACTGTCTTCCATTTCGGTTTTGAATCAGTATTGTTAGACCCACTCCTCTCTCTCTTTTTTTAAATGTCTGTATACTTTTTTTCTTTTTTTATTGTAAACCAATGTAAACGTGTGAAGTGCATGTTTTGTTTTGTTTTTTAAAGGAAGGTCTAATGAAATGACTTTGCAATTTTCTTTTACTCAAAGGAAACACAGTCTTGTATGATTGTTGCCAATGTTTTTATTTATGTAGGCACAAAACAACTAGGCATGATATACAGAGTACATACAGTGAGTAAAGAGAGCTTCTGTGAATGCATTGCTGTAAGGTGGACAGCCAATCTACAAACAAATCTACTCATACTGCTCCCTGATCATGTACCCCTAATTGTGTGGCAAAAGATATCTGGGGCTTGTGCAAAAAGAAATGAAAAAGCATCAAACTTTTTTGTCCCAAATGAGTCTGTGTGTATGTACACACGCCCACATACACAGACCTTGCACTTCAACTGTTGAGCCGAAACTGTACCGTTTCTATGACAACCCCCTTTTGGAGGGTTTAAAAATCCCTTTGTGAACACAATTCACATATTTAGCAGAATTTGGTCTACATTTTTTTCAGACGTTATTCGACAAGAGGAGAACAAAAATAAATGGATGGCTGGTGATTTGGGTATTTTTTATACTCTTCATCAAATACAGCATTAATTTTTGTAATAAAATGGTATACATGGTTAGCGCCTTGTTCTGCACTATTGAAACTAATGGAAGTTTTGCCATTTGCTTTAGTGAGTGCAGAAACAAGCACTAAGGTCCAGATGCTCAAAGGTATTTGGGTGCCTTACTCCCATTGATTTTAATGAGAGTTAGGTGCCTAAATACCTTTGAGGCTCTGGGCCTAAGTCCATAAGGTAGCCCAATGTCATTTTAATTCAGTTGGAGGTTTTAAAATCAGCTACTCTTTGTCCTCAGAATAATTGCTCTTTCATAGAGTTTAGTATAAATCGTCACTATTCATTTGCAGCAGAGTACATATTTTTAATTAAATATGTAAACTCCTATTGACATACTACACAGTAACAACTTGAGAAGAATCATGAATCTATGAAAAAAAGATCTTTACAATTGCATTGATCCAATGGGCCCCATTGGTTCTCGGCGATCACAAGGGTGTTTAATACATTCCCAAAGCACTTTTTTTTTTTTTTTTACTTTTTAACATTTTAAAATCTAAACTTCTGATTTAAAAAAATAAACAAAGGAAGTGTCAATAAAGAAATTATATCCTGGTAAGGAGTCTTAGCTAAAGCTAAAAATGCAAACGAAATCCTTGGCACCAGCTTCCCTCTCATTTTGATTCCTTTCACTGGCTCTGCTTTGTCACACCAGCACAAATATGAACTAACACCATTGATTTCAGTGGAGTTATGCCAGGTTTACACTGAGGTAATTGAGTACAGAATTTGGCCCATTATGTTGCTAGGTATCACAGCACATTTTGTAATTTAGGGCCTCTTCCTGCTCCCCCTAGCACAGGCAAAGCTCTCATAGATGCAGGAGTGAATCCTGAACTCTTGAGGGTAAAATTAACCCCTGTGCAGAAGACCTACACAAGGTCTATCCCCTGCATAAGTCTAATTGAAAACCTATTTTGAATGCTTACAGGGATCTTAAACGAGGCCTAACGTTTATGCCTCTCCTGCTGTACATGTGTGAATTTCACCCACAAGTAGTAGATTTTTTGAGGAAGCTTTTAGTTAAATGTTAGTGAGAATAGGAGCCCACTTTAAAGTCTAGCATAACTTTAGGGTGTGAGTTCCACATACTTAAAGCCTGTGTTATTGTTGTTACTCAGCTGCATTCAGAGTAAAATAAAACCCAGCTGACTTAGATCTCTTGTGAATATGTGTGAACAGAAGCTGTCTCAATCCAGTGTAATGGGCCGCTCCACTCAGCGCCATAAAAGTCCAAGACGGAATTTCTAAATCAGTATGCAACGTAACAGGGAGCCAGTGTTGGAATAGTGTATATGCTCATTACAGTGTGTGGTACTGTGTTCTAAGTAATTCACATTTGAGATGTTTTGCAAGGGAAAGCCAGAGAACAAGAAATTTAAATACTCCAGAAAGAATAAGGCCCTTCGGCAGTAGCCTTACATCCTTCCTTGCTCAGATCCTACCTTCCTTGTCTTTCCGCACAGCTGTAACAAGCATTACAGAGCCGACACTGAGCATAAGCAGACTGAGAAATTTCTTAGGGCCATGAGCAGTTCATGGGGGAGGCCCTATATTCATTTTTTATCATAAGAACATGCCTGTTTTACAGTAGTGGGGAGGGACCCCAAAATATTCCTGCTTGGGGGCTTAAACGGGTTCTGCCTATCAAGGTCCTGTTCATTGGCTTTTTCTCCCTCTGCCATTTCCCTCTCCCGCTGTTCCATGCTGGTTTCCTTTCAAACCATGTTTCCTGCAATCCCTATGCAAACCATTGCCCCTGTTGCTTCCCTGCCATTGGTGGGAATCAGTAACAAGGGACGCAGGTTGCACTGGAATTGCAGGCACTATGGCTAGGGAAGAGAGCCAGCAGGTCAAATCTCACAGTGTGAGTCAAGACTTGCATCTCCGTGGCTGGAGAACATCCCTCATTCTCAGCAGAGTGGCCCTGGAGAGCCCTTAGAAAACAGTATGTTTCCTAGTATTAAGCAGCTATAAGCTGGCCAGTTCTTTAAGGGTTATCAACAATCTTCAGTGACACTGAGACACAACAGAATTACACTGCGTACCATTAAATCACAATATTTACTGCTCCAGGTGTCCTCTTTTACTTAGGGGCTTAGAAGGTATCATGGTACCCTAATTAGAGCTTACCCGTCCCCTCATGTGACACCCCCAGAGCAGGACCAATCAGCTGAGAAACTAAAACAGTCCACTGGGTTAAAAAGAGGGTGTTGATCACAAAGCATTCTTGGTGAGGAGGTCCTCCATGCTAGAATGCACTTTCCTCTGGCCCTTTGATGGCCTCCCAGGCACCCTGGGAGGCCTGTCTTCTTTCCCTGGGAAGTGAAAGATAGCTGTTTAGTGCTGTTGGTCATGCTTTAAATTTACTGGGGAAGGAGTTCCACGTAGAAAGGGTTAGTAAATCATGAATAGCTATTAAAAACATGTTACAGACATGAGCGGTATATGTTATGGAAGATCATAAGCAGAAGGTATTACAGCTGGTTACAATAATAATGATGCCTCACTTGTATATAGTGCTTTTCACAGTAGGTCTCAAAGCATTTTACAAATGATGTCAGTTTCATTATCCCCGTTTTACAGAGGGGGAAACTGAGACACAAGGTGCTGAAGTGACTTGGCCAAGGTCATCCAGCAAGCCATTGGCCAAGGCGGGAAACAGAACCAATGTCTACCCTGTCCAGTGTCCTATCCAATAGGCCATATCGCCATAGTCACAAGCAACAAACAAGTGGCTGATTGTTAACATATATATTAATCATTTATAGACTATTTATGGATGGAACCTTAATATAAAGTGTGACTAGTGTTGGAGTCGATGGCTTGGGGAAATCTCTCTTGGAGCAAGCCTGTAAATATTCTTGTTTAATTCTTGCTTTTAACTTTTGGATATGAGATAATCCATTATTAATTAGCACATTTGACAACTAAGTAAAAATGTGTTTCATAGATTTTTCCAGGAGAAGGGCCAATTAGATAAGCTAGTCTGATCTCCTGTAAATTACAGGCTATTAATTTTCATCCAGTTACCCCTTGCTTGAGCCCAATAACTTGTGTTTGCGTTTGGCTAAAGCAAAGCTCTCAGAAAGCATTGTTGGGTTGACAACAGCAAGAGATGGAGGAGCCATCATTTCCCTTGGTAGTTTGTTCTACTGGTTAAGCACTCTCCTGTTAAAAAGTTATGGCTAATTTGTCACCCTTTGGGCTTGTAATGCCTTTCTCTGCTAGATTAAAGAGCCCTCTGGTATCCAGTAGTTTCTCCTCATGCAGGTCCTTACACACTGTATGCAGGTCCTTACGTGTCTTCTTTTTGATAAGTGGAATGGATTGAACTCTTTAAATCTCTCACTGTGTGGCATTTTCTCCAGCCCTCAAATAACTATTGTGGCTCTTTTCTTCACTCTCGCCAATTTTTAAACCATGGGCACCAGAACTATATATAATACCTTAGTATTGATTGCATCAATGTCAAATACAGAGGGGGGAAAAGCTCACCTCCCCATTCCTACTCCTTTGCTTAAACATCCAATAATCATATTAACCCTTTTTGCCACACCAGTTAGTATTTCAAGGGAAGTTGGCAGCCGGACTCTGTGCCCTCCCTCCCCAATTACTGTAAAGTGGTAAATGTGGTATTTAATGGCAGCCACTGTCCATAAGAATAGCAGTGGAAGCTCTGTCATGCTAAAAATCCATGTATGTGTCTTCTCTCCAGCCTGACCTTTAATAGAGCTTTTTGGTCCCTTCAGCTTCCATCCGTGTTTGTCTTTAAGAGCATTGCTCTGGTTTGGATTTCCTTTTGCCAAAATGGAAGACCTGCTTGTGCCCTCCTGTGTGTTCAGTTGCATCCATCAGGTACAGTTGGATGTATGACAGGTACTTTTGGAGGCAGCGAAGGAGAAGTCCAGAATGGGTTTGATTTCAAGCACTGTGGACTTGGCTATCCCAATAGCAGTGTGGAATTTTAATCTCCTTCTAGGCAAGCTCCTAAAATGGTACTTGCATTTAAGGTTGGCTTTGTTTCTTTCATTTTTAAGATGAAACGGGCAGAATAATAGTTAATCTGCCCATGTTACACTATGGCTTGTCCTCTAAACAACAATGTTTCGATGTATGTGCCTTATTTTGTGTTGATCCTGTAAAAGAGAGGGACCAAGAACTATTGCCAAATTTTAGCTATAAGGCTGTGCGTACCATTCAGCTAATAGCACATACCACTGTTAATAGCGTCTGAAACGTCTTGTAAACCTCTGGTATTCATGTGTTAT